GGGAAATGTTAACTGTGAGTTACAGAGTGCAAATTTGAAAATTTCAACCAGTAGAGGGAAATTACAGCTATGTGGCAGAAATGTTAACCATATGTCTATATACAGAGTGCCGTTGTTTGGGCCGACTCGGGGTCACGGTCACACTCTGGTGTTATGTATGAATTTCAAAATTTGGGCCTGCTCTGTATCTTATGAACGGGTTGAAGGAAATTACAATTACTTGGCAGATATGTTAACCATGACTCCTATGTGCCGCTGTTTAGGCTGACTCAGGTCAAGGTCATACTCTGGCATTGAATATGAATTTCAAATTTCATGTCCACTCTGTATCTTTTGAACCAGATTGTATCTTTTGAACCGGATTGTATCTTTTGAACCGGATTGTATCTTTTGAACCGGATGAAGGAACTAAATACTATTTGACAGAAATGCTAATGAGACAATGTACTTAGGGTAAGTTTAAGCTTTCTTAGATTTTGCACACAAGTTATTGGTATAGACCAACATCAGATGGTATAAAAAAAATATGTTTTCCAGACTAATCATGTCAAAAACTTCAGTGGAGTCCCTTTAAGTTGTGTTATGTAAAACTACAATATTCAGAGAGTAGGTATATGGCATATAGCATTGTCTAGTGGATCACTACAAAAGTTATATCTCTAATGCTCTTTGGTCTCAAAGGTGGCTGTCAGTGGTGGGATCACTTAGTTTACATGGATTTAAACTGTAAACCTTTCTTAAAATTTAATCTCCAAATTTATAATGGTGCTGGAAGCATGCTCTAGTTGCCTTCTTTAAATCATTGGGTAAAAATTGGCCTTGCCTGAGAGTCACTTAGTTTAAAGACGACCCAAGACCTAAACATATTGTCTATAATTATGTGACGTCATCATATTGACTGGAGATAGATAAGTTTATCCAGCAAGGCTTTATCCAGCTGATAATATAGACAGTTGCAGGATATAATACTAATAGTGATGGTTGCTCCCTGAAACTGCACTTTTATCAATATAATTACAATGCGAAGCATGGAAGAAAATGTAAAATATCTATTTTTAGCATCACATATCTTGACCTTGACAAATGTACCTTCCAAGGTATGTAACTAGACATCTGTACCTAGACATTTGTCGATGAATGAGCATGTTCGAAGAAAAAATCCGAGCTATTGATCAGGTTGTCGTTTCTGTACCCGTTTATATCCAGGAACTTTTAACAGTGGTCATAATGAATTGTCATCATACAAACACAGTTTCTGAACCTGAACTTGACACATAATGACCCAATTAATGACCTTGACTCATCAATGACCTTGAAGGTCACATCAATGAATTTTGCATGACTTTTGCTACAATCTACTATAACAGCAAAACTACCTTAAGGACAATGTTTTTAAAAAGATCAAATTCAATTTGACCTTGACCTATACGTAACCTACTTGAAGGTCAAACAATTGTAATTTGAGTTTTTTCAATTTAATTGGCTAAAAGTTTGTATTTAATGAATGTATTAACTTCATACTTGTGCACAACAATCCTTGTGACAAGATAGTAAATCACCTTGCCTGCAGATTTATGCTAATTTTCATGAAAATTTTGAAATCGGATACAAGATTACCGGACGGACGGACAGTGCAATTTCTATATGCTGCCTTTTGGGGACATAAAAAGCACTGTACCCATAAGTCATTAAGCCCTGAGTAAAAGTTTGTGTACTGAAAAGAATCCACAACAGACATATATGTATAAGTTTACTTTTATTATTTAAGTAACATATATAACCGTCATAATTTAAATTATCACCTTGAACATCGAAATAAATTACTCAAATTACAGAAAAAAAAAAGAAATAAAAATACGAAAAAATCTACTTGAATATTCAATGGTAACAATCTATCAATCAAATAAACTCTTTGTTTCTCACTTCTAACCGAATGCAATTAATAAATTTTCCTTATCTGCTGAATATTAATTTTTAAAACTAGATCTTTCTAAATATTGTCTTTTTCTCTAGAACGTTAAATCTTGCTAAAATATTGTTCTTTAATTTAAATGACACATCAACAATCCTCTTTAGCTTGTCCAGATTTGAAAGAATAAAACTCGGCTTCATATTCAAGTCGTTCTCTTTTCTCCGCTTGAACTTCTCTAATAAGGTCTCTAAGGTAAGGAACATCCTGTTATGAAAAGAAAGGGAAAAAAATCAATATTATTTTCAGAGGCAATTATCTTAAAGGCACTAAATTAGGCTTCAGAAATCAATAATTTTTAAATCCTTTAGAAAGGTCAGATATGTGTTTAGTAATGTTTTGAAATGAATTTACAGTATCATAGATAGAAGTTGAACAACTACAGAAAGTAGTGTTGAATGTGCAGTAATGTGTTATAAAGATTGTGAAATGTAAACAAAAAAACTTTTTTGACTTTCATACAAAATACTCACTATAATTATACCAATTTTTAAAACAGCAAAAGAAGCCAAAGACAGTTCATCTATATGGCAAATGAGTATTTTTTAATTTTTGAAACTATAATAAGGTATCAAAAATAAAATGATTTTGAAACAAGATTGCATTTGAGAAAAATGCTATGCCACCGCATGGTTCAAATTTCATAGCTGTACACAAAGGACAAGAAAGTAGGTCACATCATCAAAATCTAGGTCACCTGATATCAAAGTTCAATTTTACAACTAAAACTGTGCACATGGTCAAAATGTCATTGCTGTACATCAAAGGACAAGAAAGTAGGTCACTGTCCCCTTGGGCAAGGCATGATTTTGACCCAAGGGTTTAATTCAAAACAATTTTGATACAGGTCCACCAAACAACATTTCAAGTCAAATATCTAAGCTATAGCTTTCTCCCATTTAGAAAACATTTGTTTTATTTTCTGTTTTTACTATGTGTACATAATGAGAATCACTGCCCCCGGGCAGGGCCAATTTTGACACCAGGGGAAAATTTTGAACAACTTTGGTAGAGGACCTATAAATGATATTATATATCAAACATCAAAGCTCTATGCCTTGTACCTTCAGACAAAAATATTTTTTATTTTTTTCACTATATGTACATAATGAAAATCAATGACCCCCGGGGCGGAACCAATTTTGACCCCAGGGCTATAATTTGAACAATCTTGCCAGAGGTTCACTACACAATGTTTCATGCAAAATATCTTAACTCTAGCCTTTGTAAATTTAGAGAAGATGATTTTTTAAGTTTGTACTATATACATATAAGGAAAACCTATGGCCTCCAGGGGGCGGGGCTAATTTTGACACAAGAGGCAAAATTTGAATAACTTTTGTAGAGTACCTTCAGATGATATAATTTAACAAATATTAAAGCTCTAAGCCTTGTACATTCAGACAATAAGATTTATTTATTTTTTACTATATGTATATATTGAAATCAATGACCCCAAGGGCGGGGGCAATTTTGACCCCAGGGCTATAATTTGAACAATCTTGCTAGAGGTTTACTTCACAATGTTTCATGCAAAATATCTAACCTCTAGCATTTGTCAATTGCTAGAAGAATTTTTTTTGAAGTTTTTACTATAAGTTTTTACTATATACATATAAGGAAAACCAATGACCCCCGGGGCGGGGCCGATTTTGACCCCAGGGCTATAATTTGAACAATCTGGTTAGAGGTCTACCAGACAATGCCTTACGCAAAATATATAAGCTCTAGGCCTTTTTGGGTCTTTACAAGAAGGTGTTTTAAGTTTTTACTATATGTACATATAGTGAAAATCAATGACCCCGGGGCGGGGCCGATTTTGACCCAAGGGCTATAATTTGAACAATCTTGGTAAGGGTCTACCAGAAGATGTCTTATGCAAAATATCTAAGCTCTAGGCCTTTTGGGTTTTTACAAGAAGGTATTTTAAGTTTTTACTATATGTACATAGTGAAAATCAATGACCCTCGGGGCGGGGCCAATTTTGACCCCAGGGCTATAATTTGAACAATCTTGTTAGAGGTCTACCAGACAATGCCTTATGCAAAATATCTAAGCTCTAGGCCTTTTGGGTCTTTACAAGAAGATTTTTTAAATTTATTCTTATAATTCCTTTTGGTTGCCATGGCAACCAGATTTCTGCATGAAATGAAATTCTTTGAACAACTTTGGAAGCCCTTCACCCAAGGAACAATCCTGCCAAGTTTGGTTGAAATTGGACTAGTGGTTTTTCACAAGAAGATTTTTTAAGTTCACTATATAATCTATATAACACACACACAAACACACACACACACACAACACACACACACACACACACACAGGTGAATCGCTATATGCCACCGCATCGCAGATGCTGCGGTGGCATAAAAATTAGTAATGTGTCCGTGGGACACGTGCCCCGACACTCCACTGCCTACTGACATACAATAGGACTATATGACAAAAGGACAGGCAAAAGGAAATTCTACATGACTCACCCTACCCATAAGTACATGTAGTTGGGGGCATAAAAACAACATCCAATTTTTCTAATGTTGACATACTGATTTCTGCACAACTAGACAATCATGCTGACCAACAGTCCAGACTCCTTTAAACTTTCATGACTTAAGGTCAAATACCTTTGAGCAATGTGTCACACAATTTGAAAATTGCAAATTTATACTTAGTCAAGGGCAATAACTCTTTCAAATCTGAAATAATCCACATGCAAAACCTGAAGGTGCGCAGCTTTACATACATGCTGATCAACATTCCTGTAAAGTTTGTTGATCCTAGCACAAGCACTTGTAGGAGGTACACATGACACAACATTTTAAAACTTTTTTGTCAGGAGCACTTTCTTTACAAATTCTAATTAAATATACAAGAAACCCCCTGGTGCAAAACTACAAATGCTGACCAACATAAGTGTCATGACTCCCGATCAAATACTTTCAGAGCTTCCCACAACACAAGTTAAAAATTGCAATAAATCTACAAATACTGAATATATCCACAAGCAAACACTGACAAACATTCCTGTGAAGTTTCATGACTTTAGGTCAAAAACATTTTTGAGCTACGCATGACACAAATGGAAAATTTCAAATTTCTACTCAAGGGCAATAGCTATGGCAAAACTAAATAAATCTATGTGCGAAACCTGAGTCAACATTCCTGTAAATTTTGTGGACTCCAGCTCAAGCACTTTTAGAGCGTCATGTTACACAACAGAAGAATACAGGGACCGACAGACGGACAAGGGCAAATCTAAATGCATCCCCCCATCCTCTATATAATAGTGGGTGCACAATAAAAATGATAGCATTTCGTGGCTTAATAGGCCTTTAACTATCTATACTAATCCAAGAATGTTACAGTAAAAGTGAAAAAAATGACTCTCTTTATCATTGGCACGAGTACCAAAGAAAATGTGAGAAATCAGAAGACTTGGTGACATGGCCGAGTGGTTAACGCGTCGAAACTAGTAATCTAATGATCGCTAGCCGCATGGGTTCAAACCCCGTCAGGGGTAGGTCGTTGTTGCCTTTAGCAAAGAACTTTACACTCATTGCTCAGCACTGGTTGGTTCCAGGAACGGATTCAAAATTGTGTCTATAAGCTTAAAGCTTCTTACACAATTAAACTAAAAAATAAATTCTGTATAAACCAAATCAGAAGACTTCAGAAATTTTATTTTGTTTATTTACCTTCTCTGGAGTCATCCATTCCTCCTTTGGTAGAAATTGATTGCTGGCATTGAGAGTCATAGCTCGTGATATTCTAAACTGTCTCTCTGCGGCAAGATCTGTTGACAATCTAGATTTGGCCTCTTTTGTTTCGTCAGTATCCATACGAATCATGTCATCAATCATTAAACCTATTATAATAAACAAAAGACTACCTTACACATTTGAGCCGCGTCACGACAAAACCAACATAGTGCGTTTGCGACCCCTGCCTGCGCATCCATGCAGTCTGATCAGGATCCATGCTGTTTGCTATCAGTTTCTCTACTTGTTATAGGGTCTGTAAGTGAACAGCATGGATCCTGATCAGACTGCGCGGTTGAAGACACATTATTTTGATTTTGTCATGGCATGTCTCATTTAAAGACTAATATCAGTCATTGAATTTAAGATTTTGAATTTTACTACTGGCTCGAATTCCAGTTTTGAATTTTTTCTACTATATATTTAACTAAATTTTCTTATAATTTACACTGGCCTGAACTAATTTTCACTGGAAATGGGCCACCGGGCAAGTGCTAAATTCGATGAATGTTACACAGTTGTATTTGTCACTTGAGAACCATTGCCAGACAATGTTGTATTTTCTACAATGTACAAAAATGGCTAGGAAAAGGGCCTGTTAAACAGTCCTGGCAACTTTGAGATAATGGTGGTAGTAGATATGATGGAAACAAAGCTTGACAACTCTTACCATATGCAGTCCTATTATAATTATATGTTGTTGTTTTTATAAACAGGCATACGTTTTTGCTTATTTAGAAATCATCCAATTTAAAAGCTAAAGGATGCTGCAAATAAAAGTAAAAAAATTACTTACCATATTTACGGAAATTTGAAGTGTTGTAAAGATTTTTTTCCAAGTTAGGAAATGCTGAAAAAACAAACAAAAGAGATTAAAACATCATTACATTATCATATAATATATATATACATATATATGCTTTATTCTGATCAATTTGTGTTTGATTTAAGAAATAATATATCCCAAACTGTGATTTTATTGCTCAATAACATCTCTGTTTGGAGTTCGGATGCGGGGAATTATATCACGAGGGCGTAGCCCGAGTGATATAATGATGCGCATCCGAACGACAAACAGTGATGTTATCAAGCAATAAAATCATCGATTTGGATATATTATTTCGATTCTAACACGACATCAACAAATAAATGCTGCCGTACATGATAATTAGCTAAATTGCGTCTGATTTGTTTCCGTACTTATTGTCAGCGCGTCACATTTTTAGTGGTTACGTCACGTGTATAATGATTACGTCACATGTCTAAATATAGAACGTCAAACAGTGATTTTATTGCATAATAACACACACTTTCGGTTCTTCTATGTTCAATAGGGAAAAATGCGGGTCGTGTTAGAATGGGTTTTAGATCACGCCGACACAGTGTAGGTCATAAGGCGACATTCCAGCTTGTGTTTGATTGGGTTTTAGATCACGCCAACACAGTGTAGGTCATAAGGCGACATTCCAGCTTTTCTGGTGGAGGAAGACCTCTGTGCATAGTTTCAGGCACAAACGGGCACCTGAGTAGAACTACCGACGTTCTGTGAGCTAGCTGGATAGCTTCCACACATCAAAAGAATCCAAAGTCCCTGTCGGGATTCGAACCCACAGCGGTGAGGGGCAAGTGGTTTGAAGTCTACGATTAAATATATCCGGAGATATTTGGATTTTAATTTAGCATAAAAAAAGCAAATATAATGTTTGAAAAAATGTTGAATTAAAAGTAGATTGTGATTGGCAGAGAAATCAGAAATGTCTCGTGTATAAACAGATCAAAAAATAGTTCGAAGGTTGATTATAATTAATATATTGATAGTATTGAGGAAAAAGTACGGAATACTGGTCAGGTCATGTCTTACTAATATACTGGGAAGTCAAAGCCCGAGGCGGCAAAAAGAACCACAGAAAAGGTACTTATTATGTTGTACATATAGAGGCGAGATTTTGCCCAGATATGAAAATAGCACAATATCACGTCTCGCAGTACAATTAGTTTGACTACCTACGACATTACACAGATAGTCTGATATTTTTCTTGTTTAAACTCCGAACCAAATTGAACTGTTATCTTAAAAAAAATTATACCAAATACAAATACTAAATACATTTTGCAAAAAAAATTCACAATAACGATTGCAAAAAAAAACAGCAAAAAAAATTATCATGGTCGAATCTCCACTGGGGCGAATCGTTGTTATCCAGATACAGCAAAGATACACAACTTCACAAGTGACATTACGTTCTACGAAAATAAAAACAAATAACACTCAATACAATCATAGGTTCTTTTTAAAGAATAATATACTTTCATACCCTTCTTTGCTACAAAAGCCGTAAATTTCACGACTTTATCCATTTTGTCAGCTACCGATTCAATCAAGGTCAAATCACGTTTCTCAAACGCTTGCTTTCTAGTTCTTGTAAGCGCCTTCGAAGCACGATTAGCACTGTATTGACAGTGGTACACAGTATATTTACCGATTATGTCACGCAAAGCTATCATATATGTCATCTAGAAGTTAGAACATAATTTGAAATAAAACATACGGATGAAAATTTTAGCCTAATTACACGGTCACAAGGCCGTTTTTTGCGAGTTTAGGCATTTACATTTGTGTGAATATTATTACTGTTAAAGGAGGGCAGAGGTCTTTCAGTTACAGATAGGGAGGTTGAAGTCTTAGGAAGTCTGGCGGCTCTTCCCAGTAAAAAAATAAAATGTTCCTGTTAAATGGTGTGCAATTTTTAATTTTAAACAAGGGTATATTTTACCAAACTGATGATTATGCCTTCAAGCTCGGGAGTATACTGTATATGTATAGACCCTTGTAAAGAACCTTTAAAGAGTTGCTTTAATAGTTCATACAAATTTATTTTAGTTCGATTGTGTTGGAAGATTTAAGTTTATTGAAACACTCTCGAATCCGTCCGTGGAACCAACACGTACTAAGCAATGAATGTATAACTATATAAGTTTTCTTTCGTTCTAATCCCTTTCAATTTATGTAACAATTATATATATATAATGTAATATGTTTAAATGTAAAATATTGAAATAAATATGTTTAAAGTAATGAATGTAAAGTTTCTTGCTGAAGGAAACAACGGCCTGTCCCTGGCAGGATTTGAACCCAACGAGTTGTTTTGAAATGCTTACCCAGTATTATATTCTGAATCTCCTGTACATAAATAAAAAAAGAGTTCAAATTAAGATGCATATGGTACTATATCAGTACGTATTTTATATTTTTAACGTTCTCTGCTGGTATGAGTGACGCTTTTCCTATAATCTAATCTAATCTACTCAGTATCAAAGGTGCTACCTAAAATTATTTAACCTTGTTATTTATGCAATAAAATATCCATATATTAAAAAAAATTTTTTTTTAACTGTTCGGTCTACATTTATAGACAATGTAACAGTAAAAAAATATTTCTTTTTTAATATATGGATATTTTATTGCATAAATAACAAGATTAAACACATTTTAGGTCAAATCCATGCCACTAGCACCTTTGCTCAGTATCACATGCAGCTGCTGATCAATGACAAAGAGTAACGTACTTCGGGTCTATGTGTAGAGAAGTATTTACTTCAACACTTTATGCACAACGAAAGTGCATGCAGTGTTTGCGTAAAGGAACAATAAATACAAAGCTAGATCTATATTTATAAGTGCAATAAGTCACAAAATATGCGTTTATAAGAAAAAATGGCCATTATATCAATAAAAATTATTTACTTGAAGCCAATTTAAGCTGATAATTTATAATTAACGTTCCTTTTTATAGAAATAAAATTAATAGGACAGGGCGTTGGATGGGTCATGGGGCCAAGGGAAAGGGCGTAGGGTTCACATAGATCATTCCGAATTATGCGTTGCATCAGGGATGTATATCTAGGATAAACCGTCCATTGATTGATAATAATAATTATTTAAATCAATTTAATTGATTTAAATAATTAAGTTCCATTGACATTTAAAGCGCCATTTATTTTATCGGTAAATATTTCCGGTTGAGGTCGTTTTCTTGTAGCATATTCAACAGAGTGTGTCATCGTGCGAGAGCACGCGCATGGTCAGTTACACGGGGAAGTGAATAACACGGTGAGCCCAGACCTGCATGTTGCCAAGACACAGTGCACGATTTTTCTAAATGTAGAATCAATATTTAGGTAAGGGACTTTTGTGGTCAAATATTATTGTCTTCAAGGCTGTATTTTTGTGTAACCTATCTATATACCACAGCTCTATTGCTGCATTTTCGTCAATGTAAACTTGTGAAAATTGTCATTTTTTCGGGTCACGATCTTTAGCGCACGTCAACAGAGGCGCCCAAGGGATATTGCTTTACAAAAACAACGAAAGTGTGGTATGTGAATGATTAATGAAAATTGTTTGTACATTGGCATTCCAATTATATAAATCTGTATCTTACTTTCGAAATCAAAACTTTTTAAAACATGAAAGTAGGTCATATTTTAGAAAGTAGGTTTTAAATAGATATCTGGACAAGAACTAGTTGGTGTCAGTATTTATAAGTCTAGTGTAATTATATACCAGATTAAAATAACCTCTTCAATTTATATACACAGATTTTTTCACCAGAATCAGAGTTTTACATTGATTTAGTAGATAGTGAATTATCCAAAAATGTATAACTACAGTGGCATCACTGTTTCACATAGGCATTACAGGGCTTTTTTAACAGATTGGGGAAGCAGCCCTGCCCTTAATTTAAGGGAAAAATTACACGGTATATTTCCAAATGGGGAAGAAAAAAACTTTATGTGAATTCAATTTTTGGGGAAAACTGCATGATTTTTAAAGACTTTCTTGGGGGAAGCAGCCCTTAGTATAAAAACAGCCCTACTATAGATGGGGAAAAAAAAGCTCAGATTAACAATAATATCCATGGGTACCCTAAGCATTTTACAGTGCTATTTTATAATACACTATATTTTTCTTATGATCCATTTAACATTCTGCATTGAAGAAATTTTTGCACATGTGAATTTTTTTCGATGATCAAGTGTGAGATTTTTCTTTAAAAAGAGGGAGATTTTAGAATTTGCATTAAACAAAGAAGGATTTTCTGACATCAAAAAGAGGGAGATTTCTTTAATTTGTGAAAATACCCCTAATTTTAAGAACTATCTTTGAAAATATGGCTGTTTTTGAAAATATGGCTGAGCGAGTCTCCCACTAGAAGTGGAAGTATACATGTATGCAATAAAATTCTTTGATGTTTTAAAGTATTCAACTGCTTCTTTCTAAATAACATACATTTTAAGAGATTTTGCGACATACATAGTACTGGTTTCCTAGCAGTTTCCAGCCCCAAATGGCACTTGAAGGGATTCTTTTTGGCTTATTTTATAGCGGGTGTTCCCAACTGAAAATAGTATATTATTTTCCCAACTGAAAATAGTATATTATTTTCCCGATCCACAGGAAAAAATTCCCAATTGAAAGTAATAATTACAAAATAAAAAATATTGAATGACAAATTCAAAATCTTTGGAAATAAGGGCTTCATCACTGTTCTGGTGCTTAAATGTTTGAAGATGCCATCCTAGACATCACAGCAAAATTTAAGTCATGCAGATTTTCCCAATTTATAAAAAACATTGCTGAAATTCCTAATTCCAATCCATGGGTATGGGCTTGGTCCCAATATCCTGGAAAAAAACTGCCTTTTAATAAATAAAATGAAAATCTGTCTAAAGACAAGTACAAAACTGAGAGAACAAAGTTAGGTACCTGTCCAGCATAATCATTTTTCTATGTTGCTCATTTACTTTACTTTATATTTAGAACATATAGGCCTGATTGTAACACCTTTTCACTTTTATTCAAAATTTCATTGCAGTTTTCCAGACCTTTTTTATTTTGAATATATATATATATATATAATTTAGTACCAGTAAGAAATATTAAAATGATTTCAACAAACTGGTAGATTTGAGGTATCAAGTGGTTTCCTTATTGTTTATTTTTTTAAATGGCAGCAATTTTAGCGTTTTGTCAATTTTGATTGGTCAACTTTGTAGAAAAAAAAAATGAAATGCCAACATGGAGAAGGTTCCACTTATTCATTTTTAGATCGACTATTCGATAAGAATAAGTAAGTAAGTAAGTAAGTAAGTAAGTAAAGGCTTTATTTATCGAGGCTACACATTTGGTTTCCCAATCTTCCATGTGGGCCTCTAATAAAAACATAATTTACAATATATACAACTACAATATTACAAAAATAATTGCAACAACATTATGTTACAATGTACATTGAAATTGTCAGAACAAGTAATACATGTTAAAGATTTACAGTTCATTCATAGCATAATATATGTCAAAGAAGTACATATCAAATTAAAAGAAGTGGGAAATACTTTTAAGGTGGTACATCAAATGATTGGATTCTAATTTTGTTATAAAATGATTAATTTAATGATGAGAAATGCCAGGATAGATATGAAGCTTGAAATTCCTGAACTGTTTAAGATTTCCTTATGTTAAGAGGGATATTATTCCATAATTTAGGGCCAGAGTATACTAGGGATTTTCTGAAAAATTCTTTCTTAGGTCGTGGAACAGCTAGGTCTGAACTATTTGTAGATCTTAAGTTGCGCTCATGTTTTTGGTCAGATCAGATCATTGCTGCAATTGCCCCAGATAGTACAGCAATAATCTAGGTGTGGTAAGATGTATGAGTTAAAAAATAGTTTTCTTGCATGTAAGTCTAGGTATTGCTTGATTCTGAGAAGAAGGTATAACTGAGAGTTGCATTTTTTAAGTATCATTTCTATTTGGATTTTCCATTTTAGTTTACTATCAACAAAAACACCTAGTAACTTTTCGGTTTCAGAAAATTGGATCATTTGATCTTGAAGGTGTAAAGGTGGTAAATGAAGCTGTGTATTATTTGATGTAAGGTGCATTGCCTTTGTTTTCAGTGTATTTAACACAATTGCATTTTGTATACACCAATTGTTTACATGTTTGAGGTTAGTTTGAAGTTTATTATGTAGTTCTTGTGGTGAATGTCCTGATGCTGTAAGTGTGGTGTCATCTGCAAACATGTCTATTTCTGAGGTCTCTAAATGAAGTGGAAGATCATTGATGTATATAATGAAAAGCAGGGGCCCAAGGACAGATCCTTGGGGAACACCTGATATAACCTCTGCAGATTCTGAGAGTTTACCTGATATACTGACTTTCTGTGTTCTGTTTGCAAGATAAGATGAAAACCATTTAATTGTATGAGAAGAACAATGGTAATAATGCAGTTTCTGAATAAGAATTTTATGGTTTACAAGGTCAAATGCTTTGGTTAGGTCAAGAAAAATTGTGCCAACTAGTTCTCCATCATTAATTGCATTTATCCAAGTAGAGCTATTGTAGTCACCCGAGCGTCGGCGTAACCACTAAGTCTTGTGTTAAAGTTTTTGTAATAGTTTAAATATTTTCAAGTCCATTGACATATGGCTTTGAAACTTTGCACACTTATTCAACATCATGACCC